GTAGTGGAAGACTTGGGTACGATGATCCGAACAATCAATATTGCAATGCAGCCCCGATCATACATCATCATCATCATTCCATAGTGCAAAGGGGTTTGGCGCTTTACACGGGAAAACTGTGCCAACCCCAACCATACACAGACGAAGAAGAGGGAGGTTAGACGAAGAAGAGGGGAAGATGGGAATGTCGTCATCACCAAGTCTTCGGCACAGGCTCAAAAAGTCCCTCGTCAAAATGTCTGAATCCCAATGTCGTGTCTGGATCCTATGTCGTCAAGCTTTGTCTCTCTCTCCCTCTCTCTCACACTCTCTCTCTCTCTCCTTTACACACACACGCACACATCTATAGTAGTGAATGAATCTAACCTCGTTAATCACTTTATTTTTATTTATTTGCTTATTTTATTTATTTATTTATTCACTTTCGTTTTTTTTTTGTCTTTGATGGTGCTAGGGAACGAGCCGTGAGATTGAGGACTTACTTGTCCTTTATCTTGCTCTCTTGTCGTGGCTACCGCCGTCGGAGTCGTCGCCTGCTGTTACCTCGTCGTCGTTCGACCGTACAGGTAAGCTTTTCACCCCCTTCGTGTCTTCTTCTTCTTCTCTTCCTTCTTCTTATCCCCTTTTCCTTGCGATCTCTTTCTTCGCCTAGTCTTCCCCCCTCACTCTCTTTCTCACCTACTTATTTTTTCCTCCTTCTTCCTCGTTGGCTTCTCTGTTCTGCCTTTCTCTTGTTGTCGTCATTGCGACTGCCGCCTTTACGGTAGCATCTGCAGTCGTTTCCGTAGCCGACAGCCCACACAATCTGGCCCGCGCTCTCCTTCTTCTTCTTTTACGCCTCCTCCTTCTTTCTCTCCTTCTTCTTCCTCTTCTTTTCCTTCTCGCAATCTACCTGATCTTGCGAGATTCCCGCTTTTCGCGATATCCCTCTTTCTCCTTCGATTGCTTTTCTCTATTCTCTCTCTCTCGTTCCTGGTTCGTTGTCCCCCCTTTTCCCGAGTCAGACTTTCGCGACGCCGCACTGTGGTTACTCGCCTTTGGGGCACGGTGATCGTAGCGGCCGGTATCCCAACCTCGGCCTGATTCGTACCTTCCTCCCTACGTCGAACTTGCCCCGATTAAGAGGCGGGTTCATTCAATAGTCACTAACGGGGAGAACATGATAGTAATAATAAAATAGAAAAAAAATAAAAGAAATTTAACATGAAAACGAATCCAACTACTAAATACCCCATCGTGCCAATTGTCACGGCGGGGTCTAACCATAATTTTCCTCGTTTTTTAGGTCGCGGGCTCGAGTTATGTTTGCCTACGGTTGGGTGAAAAAAAGTAGGCCCGCCCCCTTGTAGCTAGCAAAAGAGCTAGCCCGGAGACAGGTTGGATTCGATCCCAATATCCCTTGCTTATCAGTCTGTTCCTCTACCTACTGGGCTAGCTCTTACCACGGTATGGTAAGGAGCCGCCTCCCTATAATTAGATGTAGTAGGTCTGATCTCTTTAGCCTGCGTGCTTGTTGCCAGTTAGTGCGTCCATCCTTAGGCTTTGTTGGTCTAAGTATGCGCGCGCCCTCGAGGGCACTCGTTTCATCGGAAGGCCCGAAGGGCCTGTACCTAGTCGTGGTTGCGGCATCAAAGGTCGCAGCGGGGTAATCACTCAAGTGGCAAGCTGGTATCACACCAAGTAGAAGTAGATGTGGTGGATACTCGACCCGGAGGCTGAGTAGGGGAAGACAAAGACCGAAATTTTTAGAACATCCAGTACCGGAGGGAAGACAGGCACTGGACCAAGCCTAAGTGTGTGTCATAGACCTACCTGATATAATCAGCAGCCCAAATGACCCTTCGACCTCTTCTGTCGAGGGGTATTACTACGGATCCTAATCACCACGGTGCGCGTCATAATAACGCGCGTACGTTCTTAACGAAATTTTCTTACCGATTTTTCCCCCGGCCTCAGTGGTCGAGGATTTCGCTTCCAGTGTCACGCCAAGCGTGCACACCCCTCTTGTTTCCAGAGTGGCTACGTCATGGTAGCTGACGCCGTCATCGTGCCGAATGCAAAGACATCGCAAAATACCCCTGTAAGGGTATTTTGTCCGACAGTATCCCAGACCTCATTAAGCGACGTCCCCGTCGCTCGGAGAACTATATGCACATAAAGGTGTTTTCCGACAAACAAATCGTCAAATCCGAATCCCGGAATGAAATGTTGTTTCAGGATTGACGTCGTCATCTTACTTTTCATTATTACTGCCGGGATTTTAACCCGGGTCTCCCACATAAAACATAATGACTGGAAGTGGGGATACTTGATCTGTACTACACTATATGAAATAGTTAAGTATGACAACGCACCTTTCCTTCCCCCACACCCTTAGTCTTTGGTCAAGGTATTCGTTGGTTGTTTTCAGGGCCGGTGTTCGCGTACGAACTCAACCGTCAAACGCGGGTCTTAACCGAGACCTTGGGTGTTCAACTCTTGATATCACAATCCAAAGTTGTCTGTCGTTCTGCCCGAAGCCTAATACAGGAGGATAACGGTCTCCATCTCGACCCACCACAGTCCTGCTGATCAGGCCGGAGCTGCGGCGCACCATTTTGTTGCTTATCGGTGGTTACCCTCGTTGGTTGTGCAACGATGGGTTAGTCATCCTATGAATTTCATAACTAATCTCGATCCCTTCGACACCCACCTGATTAGGTTCCTTCACTGGGGTGACCCTCCCCTCTAGCCCCTATTCCAGGCCATAGGCGAAGGGTCCGCTGCCTGGTTATGCTAGGTCATCAGCCCACGCTGGGAGTTACGTCCCAACGATGTCAATTTTTCACCATAAGCTTGGTAGTTGTATGCCCTCAGGTTAACCCTTGAGGTGGATGAACGATGCTTTAAACAAACCGAATAAATGAGAACTTTTAATAGATTGAGCATTCGTCAGGCTGCCACTCAAGGTTGTGCCCTCCAAGTCTTTGATCATAGTTTGATGAGGCACGCACCTCGAGATCATTTTGTATATATATAACCATTATTTATATATATATAACCATTATTTTTTAAAATAAACTTATATTGACTCTTTGCTTGTAAGAATACACGAAGAAACATCACTTTCATAGAGATTGTCCAAGAATTTCTGCAATAGAATTGATAAGACTCAAGGAGTCTGTCCATGTTGTACCATGGTCTCAAACAAGAAATGTACAATCAATCCAGTCTTTGAACCTTCATAACTCATCAAACTTTCATATGAAATACATGTCCGCCCGTTCCTCTATCACCTCTTTAAATCTCAACAAGAGTCTAGTAGTGATAGACGAAGGGAGACCTCGAGTTACAAGAGACTCAACCAAAGACAAAGACTCACACACAATTCGACAAGTGCGTCGTGTTCACCAGCTCATCCCCCTTAGAGATATATATAAATACAAATATGTTACAGATTCAATTCACCACTCCCCTCATCATCCATCAAATATCTCTCATGTCCTTTCCTAAACTACGTCCTATGCTAAGTTTCCTCATATGACTGCAGAAAGCAACACAGCGCGTTTCATACTTTTCCTATATTTAATTTGAAGAAGAAAACTCACATCCCTTGCTCTGAAATTACCCCTTTTCCCTCTCATAACTATTTTACAAGCCAATACAAATCATGATTTTCCCCAAAAACACCTACTTATCTCCACCTAAAAATCAATTGGCAATCCCGGTATCCTGTGAAGCGCTACCCTACCTCCGTCAGGTATCCTGGGGATGGTCTGCCCTGTGCAGGCCACCAATCTCTTGTAACTATCATATTTGGTTTTTCCTTCCTTGATATAAATTGTTAGAATGGAGCATTCATCCCTGAGATGCCCTTCCTGAGTACAGAAGAAGCACCTCTGTCCAGTCATGCTAGGCTTGATTCTCTTTATGTCTGGCCGGATTGAAGTCTCAGCCTGATCCTCAACTCCCTTTGGTGATCCCAACTCAGATTCCCTCTGCCTTTTGCCCTGCCCTGGCAGAGGCCTAGCCACATTCTCACTCACCTCCTTTTCTGGTGCAGGAGGTCCATCTCTCTTCTCCTCAGTTTGTACCCCTTTCTCTTCACCCTTCTTCGTGACTTCCTTTTCTTTTTTCAGATGGCTCAGTCTGAGTCCCTCCATTCCTACCAATATCTCACCCCATCTTTTCTCCCACTCTTGTCCCAACTTCTTCCTTTCTGAGATTTCATTGTCTAGGTCCAGTCCTAGCACACTGACCTCAGAGCTCATGCCATCCATCCTTATTTTCATCCTTCCTATCGTGGCCGCTTCATTCTCCAATTTTTTGTCGCTCATAGTCAGGACGGCCCTCAATTGACTCACTTCTTTCTGTAATTCCTCCTTCCCTTTCTTTAACCCCTTCATTTCCTTCCTCATCTCTTTCATATCTCTTATCAACTTTTTCACTTGTACATTCCTCTCATCTTCCTTCCTTCTTGTTCCACTTGCCTCTTCCCTTTTTCTGTCTCCAATTGGTCCTTCTTCCTCAGTTCTCTTGACTTTGGGAGCCTTGCCTCCTCCTTGGACCTTCTTTCCCTCTCCAGCTTCCTCCACTTCTTCCTCCCTTTCACTCATCCTTTCTTGTACCTCTTACCTTCCACTCTCAATCGCCCTTCTCTTTTCAAGTTTCTTCTTTCTTGGTACCATACTTGCCCCCATGCTTCTTTTCCTCCCTTCTGTTGCCTCCTCCTCTTCCTGTTTATCTCCCTCGGCCTGCTCAAATCCCTTGTTGCTGCTCTTGGGGGAGACCCTCGTCTTGTTCTTCAATCTCGTCAGAGACACATTATCCTCTTCTTCATCTTCTGCCTCCTTTCCCTGTGGCTCAGCCACCTCTCTTCCAATCCATAGCCTCTTCTCTTGCAGCCTTTCTTTTCTTGTTTGATCCTGCCTGGTCTGGGTGTAGGCTATCCACAATTCTGCTGTTATTCTTTTCCAGGTTCGTCTCTCTTCCACAATTCTTTTAACTTCCTCCTTTTCACTCTTTTCTGATCTTGCGATCAGCTGTTTCTTCCTTTCCTCTTTGTTTCACTCGCCTCTCTCTGCGGTCAGCTGCAAGCTTTCGATAAAGTCCTCCAGATTGGTTTCATCAAACCTTAAGTCATCCTCCACATCGTCCATTGGGAAGGCCCCTATGGCTTTCCATAACCTCTCCTTGCATACTTTCCACCTTGTGCACCCTGCCACCACTCCTTCAATCCTCCTCTTGTACATTCCTGCTCCACTTACATTCGCAATCTTCTCCCTGTCACCCCATTCTCTCCTGAATGCGTACTGTTCAAGGTCTCGCAGAAAAATTCGCAGGCTGTCTCCTACCCTGTAAATGGGCAGCTCCTCCAGGTTCCTTGAGACTCTTTGACCCCTCCTCTGCCCTCCCTTTCTCAAGGCAGGTCCAGAGGGTCCTGCCACTGCTCCTCTCTGCGCTATGGCCTCTTCTTTCCAAGGGTCACGCCTGCACACAGAGAAGGAGCAAATGACAGGTACGAGGGTCAGATTATCACCAAGGCAACATTCCTTGTTAACCACGAGTTGACAATGTCTTCCTTTATCAGGTACTTACATATACACACATATACACCTATATATATATATATACATCTCATATATATATATATATATATATATATATATATATATATATATATATATATATATATACATGAACGTATATACACGCACATATCCCTCCTTATACCCCTTTTGCATCCATATATGTATACATACACACATATATATATATGCATATATGTATTCATATATGTATGAGCATAATCTTGGACAATTGGGTACATACCTACATAGAAACTTGATACACATATGCATGCCTAAATACCTTCCCAATCTATCCAAGTTTCGTATCGTAGTTGAGCTTACCTCTTCTCTGACTCGGAACTTCTTCAGTATAGATCCTAAGACCCAGTCCTTCCTTGGAGTCTCATCCATCTCTTCTAGTTCATATGCCCCATGAAGTCCCTGCTTCCTGACTTTGAATGGTCCTCGCCACCGTTTGTCCAATTTTCTCGACCACTGCATTTTCAGAGATGAATCGTAGAGTAGTACTGTCTCGCCAACTTGTAGAGGTTCGAGTCTTACTCTAGATAGTTTGTCCCACATTTCCTTATCCTTCCCCCTGCTGTCTGCAACGTTCATGGCCGCTTCCTGCACCCTTTCTTCAGTGGCGATGATCTGCCTTGCCCTTAGATCTAGCAGTTCCTCCAAAGTCAAGTTGTTCTCCAGGTCCTGCCTACGCCAAGTTTTCAGGAAGCTTTCAATAGGAAATGTGGCGTGACGCGCATACCAGAGTGTCGCAGGTGCATATCCGGTCGTTCTTTTTACAGTGATGTTCTCCACAAAGAACACTCTTCTTAGGAACTTTGGCCAGAGATTCGGCTTCCCACTGGTCCATTTGGCCAGTAAGTTAGTAATTGTGCTATGACCTTTCTCAACCGGTGCATTTGCTTGTGGATGTGTCCGAGTCGTATAATTACCTGTGACCCCCAATTCCTTGAGCAACTCCTTCACTTCCCCACACGTGAACTTAGACCCCCTGTCCATTGTAAACTCTAATACGAAACGATATCTGAGATAATATTTTTTAATACAATCCGCCAGCGTTGCCCCGGTCTTCTTCCTGATCGCTCTGCCATCAACGAATCTTGTAAGGTTGTCCCTTGCATCGAATATATAGTTATATCCTCCAAGACCTAGTGGCATAGCTAGTAGATCCAGGTGAACAATGACCCCTACTTCCTTGATATATCTAGGATGCAGAGGTTCCTTGTACCTGATAGGCGATCAAATTTGACAGGGTACACACGACTCACAGTATTTTCACGTAATCTCAAATATTCCTTCCCAGTAGTAGTACTCCATCGCCTTCTTATAAGTAGCTGCGAAACTCCGATGTCCTCCGACTATCCCATCGTGCATTGCAGTTACTATGTCAATCTGACGATTCCTCCCACATACGACACGTCGCGGTGACCCCCTCTTGTCTCTGATGAACAAGTGGTCACCTCTTACCACATAGTGGTCTCTCATCCTGAGAGTCTTTTCACTCACTTCTCTCTCTCTTTTATCTCCTGAGAGGAGCAACCCCATTTCTAAATAAAATTCATCATACTCCTCTTCCCTGAATTCCTCTGAAATCTCCTCTTGTTCAAACTCTCCTTCCTTCCCTTCATCGAACTCGTAATCATCACCAATAACTATTTCATCGACCTTCACTATTCCTCTTTCATCATTCACTTGGACTTGCAACAGCGAATTTGTCAGGTAGTACATTCTTCCCATCATGGCCACCTGATCGTCTCCCTGTTGGACTCCTACTTCGATCGTTAGCGGCTCATCCATTATCCTATAATTTTCTGCTAGAGCTAACTCCATCATCCACTCCGTATTTCGCTCTCCCCAAGAGTTCTCTTCTTCCAATGGTGTGAGTATCAGAGAAGGTTCTCTCATAAATTCAGGCGGTGGATGCCATATTGGATTCCCTCTCCTCATCTCCTTACTTTCGACAAACATGAACCAACAGTTCACGTGAGTTCGCATGCCTTCCCCTTCATCCAAAAATCCATCTACCGGAGGCGTTTCTTCATTAGATTCCCCTTGATTTCCCCACTCAATTCTGCTCATGCCGTCCGCCCTCTTCTTGTTCCCAGGGATCCGTTCTAACTGGAAGTCGAACATCTAGATATGGGTGAGTCATCTGGCTATGGTTGGATCTGAGGGCGAGAAATTCTTGAGCGAGTACACAAGTAGGGTCGATCCTGAGTACAAACCTCCTCCGAAAGAGGTAATGCCTAAAGATCCTTAGGGAATGCAGGACCGCCAAGGCTTCTCTTTTGAACTGCGAGTAGTTCCTTTCTGTTGAGTTGAGTGTTCGGCTTTCAAACCTCAACGGTCTCTCCTTTCCTTCACTGTCTGCCTGGATCAGGACGCTTCCCAGGGCGGTTGGTCCAGCGTCAATTTCAACTCTGAAGGGCCTTTCCATAATCGCATCAAAGTCCAGTACCCCTAGTACTGGACTCCTTCTTCAATTCTTCCACCACTTCCTCTTGATGGTTTCCCCATTCCCATTCCTGATCCTTCCGGACTAGCTTCCTTAGATGCTCTGTTTTGCTAACAAATCTCCTTCAGAACCCACAAGTACCTAGGAAGCTTTGAACTTCTCCTACATTTCTGAAGGGAGTGGGTCATTCCAGAATTTTATTGGTCTTTTTCTTATCAGGGCGCCGACCATGCTCGTTGCAAATGTATCCTAGAATGGTTACCTCCTTTACGCAATGTCTCGACTTCACTCCACTGGCGGTGAGGTTGTACTCTTCTAGTAGAGATAAGACTTCTCTTAACCCTTGAACATGTTCCCACACAAACTTTCTCACCCATAGACTCACTTCTGACTCATCCTTCTCAATCGGGCCCTTAACTGCAAGATCATCTATGTACAGCTCGGTGATCTGAGGCCTGATTGGCTGCATAACCCTAATCATGCTCCGTTGCACCATGGCCACAACATTGGTCCATCCTTGCGGCGCAACATTCATATGGACCAATCCCCTTGGCGTGTGCATCGCCGTGATGGGACGATCTGCCGGATAGACTGAAAACTGATCGTAGCCGGAGTAGAGGTCGATGAGGGACACAATCGACCTACCTGCACAAACTTCTGACAACTGGTCAACGTTAGTCAAACCTCCTGCATCCCTTACAGTTACTGCTTTCACTCGTTAGAGGTCTTGGACTCATCTGAGTACCCCATTTGGCTTTACAAAACAAAACCAGGGAAAGGCATATGGTCCATTGGAGTACCCTGCCACATCCGTGCGGATCTTCCCATCTAGGTACTCTACCACCCTTCTGCGATCCTCGGGGTTGGGATACTTAGCTCCTCGGACATTCCATGGCTTATGAGGTACAGTATGAATGCGGATCATTTCTATCTTGTCCACATCCAGCCTCCCACGTTGATCATCGTTGAAGGCATATGCCCCATGTTTTTCACGTATCAGTTCTTTCACCAAGTCCTCCTCTTGCCTTGTCAGAAAGCCAGGTTCCCCTATTATCAGTTCTTTCTGAGTCTCATCGTCGATACGACAAGGCCCATTCTAGATGCCTTCCCTCATTTGCTGTATCAGTTCCCTGTCCTCATCATAATACACCCCTTCTTCTTGACTCACTAGAACTGGCACAGGGTGACTTTTCTTATCTACCGTCTTGTACCTCCTTTTGGAGCCCTGCTTGAGTCCACCCCTAAAAAATGATGACCGACAGCTTGAGCATTCAATGCATGCGGCACTATTATCTGAGAAGAAGGAGGTGGTCTGTAAACGAGATCGTCCCTTCCCCCTTCCGGATCGTCTTGGATCCTTTCTGCGAGTGCCCTGACTGCGTTAGGATCAACCATCCTATAGACCGATACCAGTTTCACCGCGTCACTGATATTGGTCAGACTTAATACAAGCCCTTTGGCTTCTTCATCATTTGACTTATCCTCTCCTTCTTCCCATTCCAGTTCCCTCCTCCTATTCTCTGATTCCTCGAATGTGTAGGATTCGGCATTGAGCCTGTTCTTCGAGCTGTGTGGGCCGGTATTCCTACAGGTGATAACCTCAAAGTTCCCACAGGCAGGATCGCACAGGATGACGAACATGGTGCCGTTGTGTTTGTTCATAATGAGTGCCTCGGATCTGCACAGGAACGACCTTCCCAGTAATATTGGAAGGTCCAAGCTGGGCATGACGTAGAAACACGTACGTACCTTGACTCTTCCTATTTTTATCACTACATTTGACGCAAACCCCGTGTATCCGGTCTTGCCGCTGGCTCCATTGAGAAACCCGCAATCATTTTTATTTACCTCCAGTCCTAGTTTTACTGTCGTTTCTCCGTTTATAATATTCATCTCTGCCCCGGTGTCAACCATCCCAGGACACATCTTCCCCTTTATCATAATATCAATGGACCCTGTTCCCACGAACTTCCAGTCCATTTTGTTCCCTGCCACGCTCCAGGTAGCCTTTTTGGGAATTAAATCCCTCATTCGGACCGAGGCTACTCTCCGGCGTGATAACCTAGCCTTCACCATCTTTCTTAACTTAGGAGCCGAAGCGACGATTTCTTTCAGGTTTAGTAGTTAATTGTGCCCCTCCAGCAGTTTATTCACCAGACCCTCCAAATCCACCCCTTCTTCGATCGAGGTTTGGTACTTTCTCTTCTTGCTTGGTCTCGTTTTCCCTTTTTATCTTCCTTCCTTAGCTTCGCCTTTCCTTCTCTTAGCCCTTATCTCCGCCTGCCTTTCTTCTTCCTCCCTAATCTTCTCATCCTCATCTTCATCA